AAAAAAGCCCTATTTCACGCAGAGTATTTAAATGATGTAGAATGACCAATAAAGATTTGTCATCTTTGCCAATCTTTTTGCACAGTTTTTTGTAGCATTTTTGGCGCAAGTTTCGCCAAGCGTTGCCGAAACGGGTGGGACGCAAGCCAAACATGAATTAAATTAAAAATAAAACTATAGAAAATTGTAATTAAATAACTAAAAACAAAAATAAGCATGCACTCTGACAGACAAAGACTATTGTGTACGAAAATAAAATTTCATGAGACAGCGCGAAGACAACGACACTGACAACGACAACGACATCGACATCGGTGCACAAAAAAAAGAAGGCATATGGAAGAGGACGTCGGTATCGATAGAGGAAAATTCGCAAGAAATGCAAAAGAAGCGAGTGCATAGAATAATTGAAATTTTCAATGCTGCAACTTGATGCAGCAAAGCAAAATATATCGATGAACATATTTTACCTTAAGAATCTGTAACAGGAAAATGACAAAATACACCAATATACAACTTTGTAGACAAAGAAAGTAAGAAACACGTATCATATATGGAGTAATATATAACCCTCCACCCGTAAAAATGTAATAGATAGATTTTAAATCATGCTGAAAGATATATATTATATATTAAACAAAATTGAGACTCTTTATTGCCTTGCAAACTTAAATATTTAAAATGTTTATAATAAAGTTGGTATGCTGTGACTTGTTTATTGATTTTGTTCAAGAGAAAAACGATTAAGTAAATAAAAATAATTATTTTACAAATATGAAAACACTTAAAAACATTAAGATCTTCAAAATTATGAATTTTCTATGAATAAGTAAGAATTACAGGTATAACGCCAAAGACAAATTTGCTATATGGACAAATATAAATTCCTTTAGACATTTTCTTAAAATTTAAGAATTGAGTATGCTTTCTCAATTATGCTAATAAGAACAGTTGTAAGCTGAGAAATATTTGGGTAATGCTTTTATGTTCTCTCCACGTCTAAATTTCAAACTGTTTAAATGTAGTTGGAAAATTGTGACATCCTTTATTGATTTATTGATTTCATTTAAGGGACTATTCGACTAAATAACAACAAAATTTTAGGGAGGATGACGAAAATTTCTTTACAAAAAAAAGGCAGTTACTATAATATATTATGATCTTAAATATTTTGTTGTCTATGGATTACTGGGTAATCCCAAAGAAATCTCAATCTAAAACATATTTTCAATGCCATATTTTTTTGTTTGCTAATCCTGCCGACAGGCTAATCCCCAATGACCGATCCGCTGGTGGGTCAGTCAGTCAATCAGTCAGTCAGTCAATCAGTCAGTCATCACATCGCTCAGCCAACAACTAAGACTAACCGCCATTTTCGCCCACCGCCCCCTTTTCCCCAATTTCATTCTCGAGAAGTTTTCCCCAACCGATGCGAATTTTCTCATATTTTCGATTGTGTTTTGCATCGCTTTTCCTGATGCGAATGTGCCAGTGTGTCGCCTTTTTTTTCGTATTTTTGTGCATGTGTTTTGATTTCTTGATTTCACTTCGTTTTATGCGCACATTTTTATGCATAAATTTTGACATTTGTTTGCTCTTTGGTTCCACTTCACGTTTTTATGTCACCCAAAAAAAAATCGAAATAAAACGAAAGAAAACGAAAGAAAAGAAAATAAGAGAAGCAGCTACGAATTCGAATATGTTCAATCATACAACAACTTTTTTCAGATTTTTGATTTTGTATCCCCATCATCACCACCACCACTACCACCACAACTACAACAACAACAACCAGTACAAGCACCAACAACAACAACATCAACAACAACAAGAACCTCATCGACGGCGTCAATTGCGACGATGGCTGCCATAAATACGGTAAGTACGCGCCAATCGACATCTAAAAAAAAACAGTGCCAATAAAAAGTAAATCAACGTCAGCAGAAATAACAATTATGGGCGGAAAAAATGTTCCACAATTGTGTGCAATCAATCGTAGAAATACATAATTTATGGCGTTATTCCATATATGCTAATATTTACATTCACGCAATTTGTATCTGACTTATCCAACAATTTATTTATTTATTTCTGAACATTTAATATTTATAAAGCTTACTACCTCTAGGCAAAGTTTTCAAAGTTTCAAACTTTTAGTAGTATTTATTGTCAAACGTGTCAAACGTCAAGTGAACACTTTGTAATAACTTATTTCCCGCTGAAATATTTTAACCATTTCATAAATAAAAGAATTAAATACACTGTAAACAGTAAACATGGAAATGATTAAATAAATATTAATTAAACAAAATAATAGATTTATTTCGTTAATATTCTGAGTATAATGTAACAATTCACATCCGAATTTATGTCGATATTAAATAATTTATATTCTTTAGTTGTATGAAACTGTATATTTCCTCTTGGTGTAATATCCATAAATTTTCATAATTAACACACTGGCGTAGACAATAATGTTAATGTCATAAAACGTTTAAAAATCCATTTTTTAAATGATTAAACTTGTGATATTACGCATACGGCATGTGGAACGCCAGCTGATACCCGTGTCTTCGAAGGCCTGAACATAAATAAAAATTGAAAATTAAGGAACACAGGAAAGTGGACAGATTTGGGGCCATATGACCGAGTTACCCGATGATGAATCTGTTGTTGATGATGACGACGGCGGCTTTTCTTTTCGGCCCTTGCACAAACATGTGTTTCAGCTCATTTTACTAATAAGCAATAGAAAAAAAAGAGAGAAAAGCCCGATGACAAATTGCCGCCCAGCATATTCAATTTTACGCTGACATCATCTCGAAATTTTCATTAACATATCGGCAGAATGGACGGACAAGAACCGGGACCTTGCCAAATTCAAATCTGGCCATCAAAGTGCTTCACAAGTCTGGCTGCAATGGAAATATGATTTGGCAGCGCCTAAAGCAAACTTCTCCTGCAACATGGGCATTCATTCATGCTTTTTTGTTGGAGTGACATTGACATTTGATTGACACGTGAATCACGCCGTAAAAATATGCCCACCCACCCAATTTTTTAGGAGGATGGGCAATTCGTAACAGGATATAGTACACCCCTCCCTGACTTTCAGATGTGACAGCCTTTGCCAGCCAGACATGCGTATTTTCTCATAAATCTTTTCGCTTGTGCAAGAGAGCAAACATATAATTACTTGATACCTGAATTGATTTGGCGTGAATATAATTTATGATTCAATTTGATTGGTTGATAGGAGACATACCATTAAAGGCAGTTTATTTATCCTCCCAGAAATTATTTCGCCTTTGATTATTCTAAGCATTTCAAAGCAGCAACAAGGTTATCACAACAATTGATAAACATAAATCTAATTTACTTCTTCTAATAGCCCCTGCCCATATATATCTCATAGCCGCATTGGCAACTGGCATGTTTAAATAAACAATTTGTGTTTTGCCGTGAACATTAATGCGGGGGCGTGCCACTTGTGGCTCCATTTCCATTTCCAGTTCGGTTCATTGAGGGAACTTTTTCATTTTGCCAGCCCCGTCTTGTTTTTTTTTTTCCACAACTTAAACAATAATAAAATTGCTGTTTATTTATTTTACGTGAAATTGTATGCGTCCGAAACGAATTTATGCCAGTCGCAGTGTCTTCGTTCTGGTTTTTCGTACTGCTCCTGAGTTTTTTGTTTTGTTTTTCCACTGCGGTCAGCGTCGCAGGCACTTTCGGAAATTAATGCTTTGGCCTTTTATTTATTTTCACTCGCGTTTTGTTTTGTGGTTATGGGCAATTGCAGGCCACATTAATTGGGCATCGGTTGCGGTTTATAAAGCATTAATTGCCTCATCTAACAATGGACTACCCTGCTACCCGATTCCCCTCTTTTTGGCCAATTTATGGTTGCACTTGTTTGGCATTTAAATTAATATATGTCGCGGGTCTGCCAACAATATGAGGCGAAAAATGTCTGACTAAAGTACACCATTGTTTTATGAGTGCCAAATGCGACGAGGTCCTGCACTCACCAAAACTAGTTAGCCTAAAATAAATTTATTATACCACTTAGTTTTAAAGTAAGTGCATTCTTTTATATTAAGGGATAATTCTGTGTAAAACGTACTTTATTAACAAGTAAAAAGTTGTTAAACCTGAAATTAAGAAATTTATTATATATTTATATATGAGGATATTACTTTTCGTTAGGTCATTTTTTCTTAGCAAAATACACAAAAAGAAACTACAAAAATATTTAACCTAAAATGAAGAAAATCAGTTTTAACGTCAGTATATATTTATTGATATTTAAAGATATTACTTCCAAAACTAGTAGATATTTTTAAACAAGTAAAACAACAATGTTGATGATACATATTTTTCAATAATAGAGATAATATTTAATATTATGATATGTAATTCTTTGATTTTTATAGAATTAAATATGTATGTTTTTGAAATGAACAACTGAATCTTAAGATTTACTGAAGTATAAACTATTTAACAAGTAAATCAACAATTTTGTTTATGTTTGCTATTAGCACGAAGATAATAATATATAATTTATTAGTTTTAAATTAAAGTTAGAAAGCAAAACATTTTAAACCATACAAAATTTAATACAATACAAAAAATTGGGGATACATTTTTCTGAGTGACACACGGCTCAACGCGCTTCCGTACTTACTGACCGCGGTGGGCGTTCGCTTGGGGGGCGTGGCGCAGTAGTCAAACTTGTCCCATTTAGAGTGAAATGCATTTAAATTCAATTAATTATGCGAAGCGTCGTCCATTAGGCGACAGTTGCTGTGAATTATCAATAATCTCGACTAATCTCGCCTGACAGCCATTGCCGTCGTGCCTCTTGGCAGCAATTTCGGGTGTGTCTTCTTACCCCCACCCCCTTAAACAAACACACAAAAACACACCGACATCGACACAGATGAATTATCAGCCATTGAGATGCCGTTCTGCATTATGCATCCTTACCTTTACCGCAGGTACCCAAAAGCATCCACCTGCCATTGACGACATTAAGCAGCGCGCCGCGCGTGTTGATGTGCAGCGCATCCGTGGGCACCGAAGGATCCGTGACTCTGCAACTGCGGGATGCGAGTGCCTTGGAGACAGCCACGGCCACGAAAACAGCAGCCCCATCATCAGCGACAACGTCACCGAATGGCGCTTCAAGTGCGCCAGCGTCGACGCTAGAAAATGCGCTGACCATCGGCTATCCGGATCCGGAAATGTTGGCAGATGTCTTGGGCACCATTCAGACAGCCTGTAAGTAAACGGCATTAATGCCAATACATTTATTCAGAAATTGGACGTTTTTACCGATTTCTCTTGACCTTGCAGCTCTCAAGAACAACAACTCAATCACAGCAGCAACTTCAAGCAATAGCTCGGCCAAGTCGGCCAGCAGCAATCATCTGAATAATCCCAACAAGATAACGATAACCAGGCGCAGTGTGCAATCGGTTAGCACATCCACGAGTTCGGGCATTGGTACCAATTCAAGCAAAATCAATACCTCGTACATCAAGAACTGCTTGATTCGCAGCAGCAGCTGCAGCAACACGGTCACCAATGTCACCACATTGGCGCAGATTATGAGCAACAGCAGCACGAGCAGCGCCTCCAGTTTACTCAATCAGCACCACAATAACAACAGCAACTGCAGTAATAGTAGCAACTTCAGTACCGCCTCCTCCGTGGGCAGCAGCATCAGTGTCGGCAGCAACAGCAGCAACAGCAATTGCAGCAACGGCAGCCACAGCAGCAACAGCAACGACAGCAACAGCAGCAGCGGCGGTGTACACAGTTTGAGTTTCAAGGGCACCGGACGACATGCTCCCGCCGGAGGACTGAGCTCAGCGGCAGTCACAAACGGTAGCGGTACCGCAAGCGGCATCAGAGGCATCAGCGGCATCAGCGGTATCATCAGCGTCGAGGCGCCGCGAAAAAACCGACCGAAATTATCCTCACCAACGCGTCACGGACCGCAGCAGTGTCAGGTAGGAAAAAAACATAAAATATCTGTATAACTATATCGTAATGATATTTGTACACTGATAAAAAAATGGAATTGAGAAAAAAATGCAGAAATTTTTAAGTAACCTACATTTGTTTAAGATGTACATATATGGTTTAAATTTAAATAAAATATTTCTGACACTTGAGTCTAGTTCGAAAATAATCAAGTTAAATATCAAACAAAACTTTCATATTTAAAATAACTAAATCGAAACGATAAATATTTTAATTGAGTTTGAAGTACTGGGATTACTACGTTTTTTTATCAGTGTATAAATTCACTTTGTATTTATTGAGAGCGCTATTTGCAATATTGAACGCCACTTCTTGCCCGCTGTATCATATGGGACTTTTCTTTTCAAAATAAAACATCCTTAGTGCCAGCTGCATACTCTCTGGCTTTACCCATAGCCACATTTATCCGTGGCCTAATCGCCAATTTATCGCCGCTCATTCTGAGCCAACATGTCGTGCAGACGGTCGTGCAATATTTATAAACAGACATTAAGGTCGTCTCGTTCGAGTGGCAGGTGAAACGCACTAGCTCTTCAGAAAGTGGTCCCCACACCCTCCCTTCTGCTCGTTAAAGTCCGCCGGACTTGGCCACTTGGAACTAATATTATAGCCGTAGTCGGTTGTGTTTACACACAGCGCTAATTGAGCGAAGAACCCGTCTAGTTTGGCAGAATTGATATTTCGGGAATTGTGAGAAGAATATCAAAGGCTAGAAATCATTTCCAACAAAGTCTTTCATCGCATTTGTTGCACTGAGGCAAGAATGCTTAACTAGATCGTTTCCTATATTGGATACAAGAAATTAAAGAAGTTTAATCTCAAGAAAAGGATAACTACCTTTATAATCATTATATATAAGAAAAGTTTTTAAGTATATTAGAAATTGTAGATGAATTAGAATTCGTTTGGTCCTTAACTAAAAATAAATATTGAAAATGAAAGTTTCTTAAAAAAGGGCTTATTTAACTGGGTTCCAGAAGACCAAATTCAAAATTTAATTAATTATGTTTAAACATATTTTTGGGGAAGGAAATTTCCACACCACTAACTTGAACTTAATAAAGGGAATGTCAGATATATTTGAAATAAATTTAAATTATTCCTAGCTTTTTTCCTAGTTCTCCATTTCGATAGGCGAAAGCTGAATTTAGATCGCTTTTACCGTGTGAAAATTTCCACTAAGGAAACTCACTCGCTGATTTTTGAAACAGCTCTGGCCATAGGCATTCAACACGTCTCGACGTCTGTCAATAAAACTGACAGCCGCTTAAAGCGGCGAAGCCCTCAATTCTTCCTTTTTTTGTGGGCCATCTAGTTGAGAGGAAGGCGGTAAAGTACATTTTATGACGCGTTTTACGATACTGCGGATGTGGAGATGTTAGGTTAGCATCGGGGCACTTCATTCCTGCTGCAGGCAATCAAACAAGCAGACACACGTGTTCCTGCAGATAGTTTAAGGCATGTATGTGGCCTAGCTTTTGGCCGCTTTCACCCACTTTTGGTTTCAAAATTTGCTCTATCGTAATTAGCATGCGGTATGTGGTGGCCGCAAAAAACAAAAAAACTCACAGCAACATAACGTATACGCAATGTGGCTCATTAAAATGTTCGGACGACGGCCGCCGCGCTTTCAATTATCTAGAGGGCAGCCGACAGCCAGCGCTAATTACATTTCTCCTATGTTCTTCTCCCACCAAACTTTTTATAGATTTGTTGCAAGATCTTTGGAAATGCCTCGGCACTGGCCAAGCACAAACTGACGCACAGCGACGAGCGGAAATACATCTGTGCGCTCTGCTCGAAGGCATTCAAGCGGCAAGATCACTTGTAAGTAAATGAGGCGCACTAACTGCACTCAGAAAACACCCAAAAATTTAAATGACCTAAAAACGTGTTGCGAATAAAGTGTCAAAATCAGCAAAAGTCTAGCAAAAATATGGAAAAATAAACTTATCATGGCGTCAAGGCTATGTAAAATGAATCACCACCTTGAGAGATTTTGAAACATTATTCCTATAATGAAGGTACCTATTTCTAATACTTTTTAGACCAGCTGAAGGTTATAAACTTGTTAACATATCATGTTTCATGCGAACCCCAAACATTTTCATTGAATAAAAGATCTACTACTTCAACTATTTCTACTTTTTAGGTCGTTTTGATTTTGAGGTGTTTTTTAAGTGTAGTGATAAATTGATCGGTTAAAGCCACTAAATTCTTTTTAATCTTTTCCCTTAGAAACGGACACATGATGACTCATAGGAACAAGAAGCCTTACGAGTGTAAGGCGGATGGCTGTGGCAAGTCCTACTGCGATGCGAGATCCCTGAGGCGCCACTCCGAGAATCACCATGCGGGTGGGGCAGCCACGCCCACGCCCACCAGCCAATCACTTTCGCCCACCGCCAACTCGAGCGGTACGAGCAGTAGTAGTGCCAGTGGTGTGGCCACCAGTTCGTTGAGTCTTTCGCCGGCCACGGCCAGCGGGGATGCCAGTTCCCCGGACGGAGCCACCTGCATCCGCACCTACATTTCCACGGGCAGCTCGGTGGTGGATGCGGCCACTGGCATTGCCCTGTCCGACGAACAGATCAAGGCCATGAATCTGCCCATCAAGACGGGCGTCACCCTGCTGTCGCCCACCACCTCGACCTCCTCGAACGCCTCCTCCACGGCCTCCAGCTCATCGCTTTCCTCAGTGGGTTCGGGTTCGGGTTCAAGTTCGGGATCGGGATCGGGATCGGTATCATTATCTGGTTCCATTTCCATGGCCGCCTCACCATCTGGCGGTTCGATGGTAGCCGCCAGTTCGCCCACCATAACGCTAAGTGATGGCATGAGTCTGGAGGGCGAGGGCTTAACCCGCGAACAGCTGGATTTGATCAGCAAGATTATGCAGCAGACGAAGCAGACAAGTGCCCAGGTCACCGTCTCCTCGCCCACCAGTGTCAGCTCCTACAAGATCAACACCAACTCCTCGCCATCGCAGAACAGGCCGCGCACATGGAATATGCAATTGGTAATTGGGGTTTAACTTCACAAAACTAACAATAGAAAAAACATCAATTCAAACGGGATGGAATTAGTCGCTCAAATATTATTAAATTGATCAGAATAAAATTAAATTAAATTAAATTTGTATAAATTACTTCAACCTTCCGGACCATTAACAATCGAAAAATATTAAATTAATAATAATAAACCTTTTTTATTCGAAACGGAATTCAATTATTTGATCTCTAGTGTATATTGAAATTGAACTAAGTTTTGTTTTGAGTACATATAAAATCAAGTAACCACATCACCTCTCTTCGCAGCTGAACAGTGCCCAAAATGTGACCGTCACCGTAGAGGACAACTCCGATCTGGTGGTGGCTCCCTCCTCCGCCAACTCGCCCGTGGAGATCGTCAAGGAGGAGGAGCTGAGTCCGCAGATCGTGGGCAACATGAATCCCCACCTGCTCAACATCGTCAAGCTCGACAAGCCCGTCGAGTGCAATCTCTGCCACCGTAAGTTCAAAAACATACCCGCCCTCAATGGGCACATGCGTCTGCATGGCGGCTACTACAAGAAGGACCCGGAAACGAAGCGCAGCGAGAAGAAGGACTCCAGTGGTCCGCCGCTGCAGACGGCCAGCATCGGAGTGCGCGCCCTCATCGAGGAGAAGATCATCAGCAAGCGCAAGGACATGACTAAGGTGGGTTGGCAGGTAAAATCGAAAAATCGGGGTCACCAAAATATTAATTATGCCTAATTATCTATCAAAAGATTTATTTTAGTTCTTAATAGAACGCCTATCGATATAATCTGTTATTGGTCCCAACCACTATTAATATAATTCTATTTTAAGTCTTCAAGACTCCTGAAATCCCTAATTTCACGTACCTATCTCTACTAATTGTATTTTTAGTCTTAGCTTTTAAAACAGAAATTGTTACCCCATTTCATTAAAATCCTAAGAAACGGAGTTACCATTACCTTAATTTCGAGTACTTAGCTCTCCTAGAGTTATATTTTCGGAACGTTAATGGTTTCACCATCTCATATACCCCACTTTATAAAATCGTAGTATCAGGGTCAGAAGAAACCATTAGTTAACCCATTTAATTTAGGACTTATAAAATTCTTAAAATCGGATCACCAAAACCTTAAATTCGCATAACTAACTATCCTAAAATTTTATTATATCGTTTCTAGTTTTGCGTTATAAAACGTTAATTGTTGTCCCATCCTTTTTAGGGCTTCCTAAATATTACATATCAGGATCACCTAAATTTAAATATCATAACATAACTGTCCCAGAACCTTTTAAACGTTAAGGACTAAAAAAAAATCGGGAACCTAAATTTAGAATGTTGTTTTTGTTTTTATGCTTTTTAAAGCTCTATGCTTATCCTATTTTATCTCTATCCATCTGATTTTGTAAAAAATCCTTATAACCCTCTATTTTAGGGGTCCTTTGTGGTTCCGGCACCGCCGCACAGCAGTGGCACCACCACCACGCTGCGTCGATCGATCAGCGACCTGGAGAGCTTCCTCAACCCGAAGAACCCGAGCACCAGCAGTCACACCCAGACGATGACCACCAGCACGGGCACCACCACGGCGGTTCTGCCGGCGGCAACAACTATTAAGAGTAGCAATGGGTTGAGCATCCAGCAGATTGGCCTGCCGCAGAGCATCGAGATCTTCAGCGGGGGTCAGAAGGGTCAGGCGAAGACGCTCAATCTGGGCAGTGGCACCAACACGATCACCATAACCACCAACAATGTGCCCACCACCACGACAATGAGTGCCCTGACAGCGTTGAAGGCGGGAGGCACCATCAGCGGCATTTCCACGGCCACGAATACGGATCCCAAGGATTCTACACTCATAGAGTTGCTGAAACGGGGAACTCGCATTGCGGTGACCTCGAAGAAGGCGACCCAATCGCAGTCCCAGTCTGGCATAATGATGACCTCGAGTGGGACCAGTACAAACGCCATGGGGGCCGTCACCGAGTTGACCACCATGGGTGGCGGTCGTCAGATCATCACCAACAACAACCGCACCGTGATCATACCCTCCGATGTCCAGGTGGTGTCCACCAAGAGCAAGCTGAGCAGCCTTGCCAATTTGGTCAAGAGCAACCAGAGCAATCTTTCGCTGGCCGATGGCACACCACTCGCCCTGACCATTGCACCCAATCAGGAGATCTCAGGAGGAGGAGTGGCAGGAGGATCCAGTACGGGCAGTGTAATAACCAGTGGTGGAGGTGGAGTCTACACGGTGACCTACACCAGCAGCGATGGCACCGATCTCTTCGACGATGCCGAGGTGTACAACGTCTCGGACACCGAGATGCTGCTGCAGACGGTGGACTCCATGGAGCTGCTCAACGACGAGGAGATCAAGAGTGAACATTCCGAGGATTTTGCCATGCTGAGTGAGGCGGGCGACAGTGCCCACACCCAGTTGGTCAAGCTGGAACCGGAGCAGGGGAATTGCCAGTCCGCAAATACCACGCCGTTGCCTACCTTCCAGCAATTCCATTCCAAGGAGCTGATCATGCAGAACAGCTCGCAGATCCAGGCGATAGCCAGCATGCGTAGTGGTGGTGGTGGTGGTGGTGGTGGTGGTGTCCTGGCATCGCCACTCCACTCCCCCCTTGCTTATCCCACTCCGCCGTCGAGTCACGAGAACATGGCCCAGAGTTCGCCCTTCATCGAGGATGCAGCTGCTCAGTTTGTGGATGCCAGCAATACGTTTTTCGGCGACAAGACGGACTTCTCGCACATCTACTTCAAAACGGACGAGGGCGATGAGGGCACCATTGAGCAGCTGAACGAGCACGACAACGAGAAGATCCTCAAGCTGAAGTCAGTGCTGGAGGAGAGCAGCTTCGATCCTTCCATCAAAGTGGAGGATCTGCTCAATGGCACGGACGACGACACCGAATGTGATCTAAGGGAGTTTGCAGAGACGAATCTGTCGTTTCTAGACGAGGATCAGGAGTTCCTCAATGACTCGCGGAACGCCACCTCCCCGCTCTCGGAATCCTTCTTCACCAGCGGCATTGGCTCGGCGGAGGACGTTAAGCAGGTCCTCAGGGAAGTCCTGCCCGACGAGAACATGCAACTCCAGCTGAGCAGTGAGCAGCAGGGCGAGAATATCATCGATCTCTATTACTTGCCCGGCTTGGGCCTGCAATCTCAGATGATGCCGAACTCGGAGGACCCCTTGCTCTCCTCTTCCCCGCGAGAATTTGGCCAGCAGAGACAGCAGATGGCTATGCAGCAGCCACTGGATCAAAGCAACGGCAACATCTACCAGCAGCAGCAGCAACAAGAGCAACAACAGCAGCAGCAAGCACAGTCGCAGCAGGAGCAAGCACAGCAACAGCAACAGCAGGAACAACAACAGCAATTGCTGCTGCCACAGCAGCCACACAGGTAAAAAAAAAAACATAGAAGATCCAAGTTTGTAATACTCAAAGTAATTTTCGTTTGATTGGAGTTTTTTTAATTTTTTAATTTAAAAATCTGAAAACCTAAATTTTAACCAAATTAAAAAGGACTCATTTAAAATCATATATTTTTTACATTAGTTCAAATATTTTATATTAATTCTTTTAGAAATATACAGTTTTGAATTCTACAGCCATTAATTTATTTTAACTGTTCCATTTTTTTATCAGTGCACTCAATCAAACGGAAACAGCGGTTGGTCAGGAGCAGCAGCAGCAGGGTGACTTCATGTTGCCCCTAGTGGGTGGCCATGGATTTGCTCAAGTCACCAGCCAAACGCAGTTTATGGACAACAGCCAGGGGATGATGCCCCTCAACAGCCAGCTGCAACCACTGCTTTATGGTGGGGCCACCACTTCTACACAGAACACCATCGCCGTGGGCAACGAAACCCTGCTCACCACCGGTTGCCCACAAATGAACGCCAATCAAGGACAAATCGATGGGTCGGGCCTGCTGTTCGCCTGCGGCAACACCACAACAACCATGGCTAGCAAACCCCTGCCCAATTCGCCGAGTGTGGCCAATCTGCAGCCGCTGTCGAACCAAACCAATTCCATACTGAAGCGACGCCTGCGGTCCAATGCCCCCCAGGAGACGCACAAGTTCTCCAAGTTCCACACCCTGTCGCCGCATCGCTCCAAGCTGCGCAAGCCGTCGCGCACCCATTACACACCGGCACCCATCCTGAATCCGGATCGCAAGGGCACTGGGCTGTACTGCAATGTGCGCAAGCAACTGGGCCAGAATCTGTTCGATGCCTTCGACGATGACTTCGGCGATTCGGTGGGTCTGGTGGACTTCTCCGACGAGTCCAAGGTCAATCTCGGCTCGACCTACCAGGCGCAAATACCCAGCTGCCGGCCGTTGGAGGAAGCCAGTCGGGAGCCACTAAGTGCCGAGCTCATGTGGAATCCCGAGGTGCAGGAGGACGACAAGATCCTGATGCGCTACATTGATCTCAGCAAGTCATCGGCCGTACCCATGGGCAGTCATTCCGAGGAGGTGGCCCTCCAGACGCTGCTCAAGGCCAAGGGAAACTCGGCGGCAGCGGTTCTCACCCTGCTCCAAACGCAATCCGGCGCCTTCCAGATGAAGTGGACCGCATATGAGCTGGAGCAGTTCTTGCGAGGTTTGGAGAAGCACGGCAAGGACTTTGGCAAGATTGCCAGTGAGGTAGGTCTTAGAGTGCAATTAATTTTTATACCCGTTACTCGTACATTGAGATACATGGGGGAACTTTTTCAGGTCACTCTGATACATGAAAATTGGGCATTATATGTTTTCGAGGTCAATATCTATCGACACACCAAAAATGTTACAAATCGAACCATTTTTTTTAGAAGTTATTGGGAAAGTTTTAATTATGACGTCACAGCATATATTTAAGAAATTGTTAGCTCTGCACTTCGGCAGATGGCGCCACCTAAATTTTGTAAATGGGCTTGAAGAAAGTTGCCTTCCGTGGCTCATGTTTATTAATACTTTGAATTAATTTAATTGCAAACGTTTTTATTACATTTTTTTAATTTGAGACAAAAATGTATTAATCATATTAATTTGCAGTTGCAGACAAAGACCTCCGGCGAATGTGTGCAAATGTACTACTTCTGGAAGAAGCTGTGCGTGGACTACAAGGTGTCGCATTTGAAGATGGAGCCAGTGGTCGTGATTGCTCCAGCGGTGGAGAAGCCCTATGTCTGCGAGATTGCGGACTGTTCAGCGGTAAGTTTTAGGATCTCAGCAGCAGCAGCAGCATGCCCCAAAGCCCTAGCATGAATTGCAGATCCAGCCCAAGCCCAATTGCTAAGGCCCCACCACCTCACCTCACTGGCTCTTTCTGTTTACTTTCTTTCTTGTACATAACGCTCGAAAATCAAACCAAAAAATTTACCAATCCCTGCCTGCGCGCCAAATGTATAGAGCTTCAGTTCGAAAGCGGCGCTGCACGGCCACGTTCGCATACACGCTTATGGCCGCAGTGCCAGCAGCAACACGAACAACAGCAGCAGCAGCAACACCAACAGCAGTAGCAGCAGCAGCATGCAAAATGCAGCGGCAATTATTGCCAATTCCAGCAGCAACAACAGCAGTAGCAACACCTACGCATGTGCAACGCTCTCCACCAACAACTGCAGCAGCAACAGCAACTCAGCCAGCAATACTACGCAGGCAACAGCAACACACGCCGGCAACATGAGTCAAAACGGCAGCAACAACTACAATACCAATGCAAATGCCACGACAGCAACCTCGTCTGCGCTTTCAGCCACGCCCAAATTGGAATCAGCTACTTTACCAATTGCCAAGGAGGGCGAGTTCCCCTGCAAGGTGTGCGGCAAGTAAGATTCCCCCAAAGCAATTTCCAAGAAAACCCAAAAAAAACACGTGAAAATCGTATGAAAATTGAAAAATCCGCAAGTGATTTGAGTGCCCGTAATTGACTTGAGTTGAGATCGTAAACGCACGCTGTACCGTAAAATAACTTCTGTATCGTATGCCGTGTACGAGTTTTTGGTTAATAGATATTGAGTTTACTGTACTTATTGTTTTTCAAACAAAACGCCTAAGTTGTCATCATCGGTTGTACGTTTTGAGTTACCTTATCGCTACCCCCTCTTTCTACTTCTTTCTAAATCTTGAGTTTCAGTAGATGATTCCTCTTGTCAGTCTTTAGTTTCACTCGTATGTCAGTTTCCGACTTCTATGCCATTTAGTTAGCGTTTTCGTCAAGCCATATTAACTGTTGTTATTGTTGTTGTATTGTATTGTTCCATGATGCGAAACCCCAATATCAAATCAAACCAAAAATCGAATAACGAATACAATCAATAAATCGAAATTGCAATTTTAAAGCGAAGAGTCACAACTCGCAAATAGACGTAACCGTAACTGATATCAGCTCCACAAGTCCTCAAGAAAGCGTGCTGCTCTTCAAAATTCTCGGTAAGTAGAGAGGTCCTTGGTCTTCCGATCTCACTTTTGGTTCATTCCGATATCCCTCTTCCGTTCTCACACTCCATTCACTTGGTCTCTGTTCTCTAATTTCGTGTATTATTGTAATTTGTTTTCGATAATCTTACTCACAGCGCCAAATGCCTCTGCATTTAACAACTTTTGTAAATAATTTTAAAAACCGCGAACCAATTTAATAGATCACCTCAAAACAAACCCTTTTCGCTCCTTCATTTGTATATTGACTCAGCTGGACTTTGGAGTGATTAGCAAAAAGGGGTCGTAAGATATACCTGAATTAAAAAATTAAATTGAACAATGTCTATATTCTTGCCAAAACAAAAATAAAACAAAAACAAGGAAAAGAACAAATTAAAAAAGAAGAGTAAAGAAAATAAATTAAATTAAATAAAACGATCAAAAAAATAAAGAAAAAAAACAAAAGAAAAAGAAAAATAAAAGAAAAAAATATTTAGAATTTGGAATTGTTCGAATTCTTTTTTTTTTATTAAATAAACAACACGATAGCTAAATAAACAGCGTAAAATATTACAAATTGTTATAATTGTAAAAATATATAAAAATTATTTTTAACCCTAAGCGCAGATTTTGATAAATGGAATATTTATTGTCTTAGTTATTTTAGAGCGATATTACATATACAAATATTTTGAAAATCTCAAAAAAAAAGCACCAAAATCACAGAATCCGACAGAAACTGTATCATTCAAGCTCACACCAGACTTTCAGCTCTTCCGTTTCCTTTATATATATATGTGTATTTAATCACTATTTTATTTGGTATTTTTTATGTATTCCTAAACATAAACTCTCTATTTTCCATAGTTATTTATAACAACAAAGCAAATTTAAACTCCACACAAGGCTAAGTAAGAAGAAGTGAACAAAAGATTGAAAAAGTCTATTTCGTATATCAGCATGACTATCTATACCCAGCTATATTACCTATGCATGTGCTATAAGATATGTACTCTATGTGCTCCATTTATATCTAAATGTCCAAGTAATCCGCCTAGTCTGCATTCTAGATCAGGTAGTGATCGAAATCGAGGACCCGATCCAGTCCTATGTGTTCTCATGGTGCCCCGCACTCTGCTCTTTTTCTTTTGCCAGGGTCTTCAATAAGGTGAAGAGTCGCAGTGCGCATATGAAGACGCACCGCGTCCAGGAGCCAGATCAAAAACACCAGCTGAACCACCAGGCCGGCACAGGATTGGCCACCATCGCCTCATCAACCATCACCACACCGTCGTAGGAAAAGGATCGCATCGGATCGAACAGGATGGATAAGGATCAATAAACAAACAAAAATCGATTGACAATCGCATTAAGCAAGCAGCAAGCATTGTTTACCACTCTTAGAATTTATGCTTAGACTAATTTGAGTCTAAAAATCAATGTCATAATGTACGTAGTAGTTAAAGGCATTTCTTCACTAGGTCTATCTCTATCTATCTCTACCCTACTATCTATCTCTATCAATCACTTCTAGATCTATCCCCTAAGTAGAAGACACTGCGACTCGCACTAGTTTGTAAGTCTAGCCAAAGATTGGTACAAGTTCAAATTGAATTGTTATTGACTATATTGTAGGCAAGTGCAATATTTATGTTGAAGTAATACGAAATACGAAATGCGGAATTCGGAATTCGGAATACGGAATACGAATATGTAAATGTAAATGTATACCTACCGTTTTTTATATAGTAGGCGTTTATTCTGCTCGACTCGACTGTAGATATACTCTAAAAACAATACCAAAACTATGGCTAAAGCTAAGGCGAAATCCCGATCTATGATAAATACTAGTGCATAATTACTGTTAACTACAAGTTTTTCTACTTAAATACTCGTACATAGTTGCAACACACTACACTGATACTTTACTAGGGCGATAAATGTGTAGGACGTAAGAGAATCTCTATATATATACATACTTGATATATAATTACATACCTAGGTGTACGATGTATGCGATATATGATTGTTGTTCTAGTTTTAACGAAGTTTTACATAGATTGTACTTACCTACTACCTACGAACCTAAACTATTGAACTATGGCTTAGAGATACCGAAAACCCAAGAGAAAATCTAGTGAAATCAAGTGATATTGAGTGAGATCAAAAACGATTTTAGCTAAACGTGAACGTGAACAAAATTCAATGCACACCCAATGTAAATGGAAGTTGAGAAAAGTTTTAACTTTACTTTTAACGCGAAAGTTGTAGGTTGTAAGAGACACTGTAAATAAGAGTCTAGCAAATTAAGCGATAAGGAAGGATATCTTTCAAATTTCTCCAACACGCATAAAAGACATTAATCTACTTATAATTCTAGATTATCCCTTATCCCAACCCCCACCCACAAATACAGACAGACAATGAGAGTTCAAAATCCGAACTTTGAACTCCAACAAAACACACACAAACACTGACACTCAGACACACACACAGCAGTTTTATATAGGCCTAGGGTATACATAGTTATTATATACAAGCATATATTAAATTAAATGGTACAACAGTAAATCTGCCAGTAATTTGAAGAACAACAAGAATCACACGTTTTCCATTTGGACAGTGAGCTAATGTACTACAACTACAACAAATTGATCAATTGATTCAACGTTTTTGAGGCCAAATGCCGCCGGGTGGTATGTTATATTGACAATGGCGTAACTTAATCTAGTTTAATGTAAACCAAAAAGCAAAACCAAATGAAAAAACTCACGTTTAGTCTAATACCTTACGACCCTTTCCACTCCTCTCGGCCACTCACAAGTCCCGCAGATTCGGACCGAAATTTGGAAGATGGAAACTATTAGCAATTCTTATGGTTGTATTCGCCAGTTATAGTACTACAGAAAAATCAGGTGCTGTAAATGAAATGGGAGATATACAAATCATCATCTATTGACACCCACTATTCCCTTTCCCTGGCCTTGTGTTCGCAATAGCATTAGTAACCAATAGTCATAGAATAAGTTGACGGACGACATAATTCTTGCATATTTTTCGGTGTTATATACAATAAGCGTAAGCAGATATACATAAAAAGCAAATACAGCTACAGCAGCCCACCATAAAGCACCTTCGAAAACTGTTTGTTGTGGGTCTTCAGAGCCGTTTAAACTTTAAAGACTTTCTCGCGTACAAATACAAAACCGAATACCTACGAATACCCTTTCAATCTGTAATGGCCATCCTTTGTTGTGTGCGTTTTCCCCTCAAAAGTCTTTCGTTTCTATTACCATTTCCGTTTCCGACTGAGTTCGTCCAAACTATTCTGTTCGATTCTGTTCTATGCTCAAATGCCTTCAAGCGTAAGTCTTAAGTATTATTAAATAAAGTATCAACAAATGAGTGTTTATCCTTAAGTAAGTGTTCAAATCTAGAGTAAAACGCTAGCCTTTAAGTTGACATGTGTGTGCACTTTGTTGCTTTTCAAAAAAAGTTTCCTAAAGACAAAGAAAGGATAAATGTAAGGTTAAGCAACTGCTCGATCGTCTAGTCAAATGCAGTAGATATATCTACTATCACCTAACTTATTTATATTTTATTTTAAGTTTCATTTTCTGTGCCAAAATGTTTATCGTTTACCAATTAAATGATTTCAACTGTTTCATTTTTCACACCATCGTCTTGTCTTTTTATTTATCTACTATAATTCCTAGTTAAACCAATAACAAACAAAATAGTAAAGGACAATCTGTGACACTTGTTTCCAAGCGATAATTTCCGGAATCATCTGCAAGAACTCCGCCTCACTCACTTTATTCAAAAACTCTGCGTTGTGATTGTTCATTAAGCGAATGTAAAGATAAACTGTATTTATGCAATACAAATACGTATTTGAAAATAATAACCTGTATATAGATGGCGGCCCAAGCGGTTCCAGCTTCCTCAAAAAGCCAAACTAATTCTAGCTCAAACGTCGAATTCACTCGAATCATCAGTATATATACAATTTGCATTCCAATTCGAAGACACTATATAGTTGCATTTTGTAAATCATACAACCCTAAATGTCATACCGAATATTAAAATTAGAAACGCAACAGAATTACTTCGAAATACAATACAAAAAACCTTTTGAAATTGAAAACGATTGATAATAGCTATTAGACATATCAATTTTATTTAAACCGAATTGAGAAATCCATTCAAAAAAACAAAAAAAAAAAAAATATATATGTATACATAGTCCTGTGCATGTTTGCATTCCTGTTTAGCCAAATAAGAGACATTTTAAGCGTCATCGCAGTATTTACAGGATCTTCTGTGAGGCTCTTCTCTGGAATCTTTGCTTTCAATGCGGAATCTCAGAGTATTTAGACTGACGAGTAATAAAACAATACGAAATTACAAGATATTACTGTGGACGCATTCCATAAAACCTTCGTTTCTGTGCCAAAATTTAAATTAAAGACGCGTTGTATTGCGAGACAAACTTTACCGCTCAGTATTATCGAAATGCCCGATTTACGATGCAAAACGATCGAAAAAAGTCGGGCAGATCGGCCCTGGTATGATTAAGTACCATATACAAAAACTACACAAATCTACGATGTAAGTTTTAACTGTAATATGCAATGAAAAACACTTTTATAAAGAAGCAAACTGTTACTTTATGGCATTTAGTTGAGATGCTGTAACCTCTTGTTGATCGTAAATTGTACTTAGCTTGTAATACATATTTAACTCGCAGACACCCACACCTACACACATGATTACAGCATAAACAAATACAAAAAATATAAATGTATTTATACAGTGCTAATACTAATATTCTGATATGAACGAATATTTTATGGTACATCTACATATGTACATAAGAGTAAATGTTTTCATGGTTGTAAACTGATGATCAAAAATAGATTTAAACAATTTTACATGCTTTTATTTAAATGCAGTATTACTTCGATCTTGCTTTACACTTTTTGGTACCTAATAATATATAAAAATAACGTCTCGTATAATGCATTTCCTTAACGTTCGTTTACCATCATTGATTGTGTTAAGCAGTCTAACAATCTCACAAACGATGCAATGGATAAGTAAAATATTTTCTGAACATTACACACACACTTTGATAAAAAATGATCCGTGTAAACGATATTTAAAAAACAAAAAATCATGAATATTCCCTCCAAATAATTTTTAAAAAATTACGTATTTGCTAGAAGTCAAATCTCTGATAACTGTAATGGAAGGCGATGTGTACTTTCTTGGGTACTTTAGCATACTGAGAAGGAAGAGGGAAACTGTCTATAAAATGGAGGAATAATGTATTTAGCATGATGTTACCAGTTACATTTAACGTAATTACAATTACAATGATTATTGTGTATTGCATGTGTATGTGAAGTGTATGAAATTACAAAAGTATAACTCTACAAAAAAGAGAAACTATGGCACACTTTTGCCATTTAATAGTAGTCAATTCTTCAAAACGCATTAGGTTATAAGTGGGATGTGACAGCATGATGATATATGATATATATGGACACTATTTTCTAAACGTATTACAACAATAATTTATGAATTTGTTGGTAATTTTATACATATATATACACAGTTACTTTTGTTAGCTAGCAAAACGACAACGACAACTTTAGGTAGCGCCGAGGTAGATAAACTTTATGAATGTTGTACCCAACGCCCACGCCCCGGACACCCAAGCGAGAGCACACTGTACAGGCACAAACCTCTTGGCGGGATGGGTCCTGGATTCCCAGAGTCCTGGATCCTGTCCCCTACCAATCCTACCAAGCTAATTAGGTCCGCGTCCCTCAACAAACACGTTTTCTCCTCATCGACACTGTACACTGTACACTCTACACACTCCACACTCACTGATTACAATTTCTCTGTTGGATCTGTTGTAGTCTGCCATTTTTGGTGTGATATTCTATTGGTTGTGGCGGTTATTTTTATAGCCGCTTTACACATTGTTGCATTTCTACTAATCGTAACTGGCCTAAACTGGGTCACAAACATGACAAACGAAAAAAAAAACGAATACTGAAAAACCAAAAATAAAATTAATATAATATAACTTATTCAATTTCCTGTTGTTGTTTTCGGTTGTACAATGGTTTTTATTGAACTCGTTTTGACTAACTGTAACTAATTGCCAAACTTTGTTAACTATTTTAGTCCATACATACGTACATACATACTTTTAGGTTTAAGCACTTGTAATTTAATCGAACATGATTTGAGAAAACTTAATGAAAACGAACTAAACTTACAAAAACACGAAACGAAAATAAAATGGTGGTCGTAACTAATCAAAAGCTGTTTTATTTTTTATTGGAAGGGTTTTTAGCCAAAAATCACCAAATCTGATGAATTTATAAAAAAAAGTCAGTGAAATTGTTGAATTGTTGAATAATTTAATATAACGAGTGTTTACTGTACATCAAGTGATTTAGGCCCCCTGCCATTTTTATACCTTGTAAGTTTAGCTAAGACACGATCCTTAGAGCTTTTTTTCCCGCTGCACTGCTCTCTCTCTCTCTCTCTCTCTCTCTGTGTTTTTCTCTCTTCATTTGGCTGTCGCCCTTCCCCTCACACACACTCAAAATGGCATTGTTGTTGGCGTTTGTCATTGTCCTTTTTGCGTTCGCTTTTGCTTTCGCTTTCGCACTCGTTTATGTAGTTCAGTGTGCTCAGTTGCGTCCTGGCTTCATATCCTGTCGCTAGTCGCTATCCTTTGCCTTAGTGCTTCCCCAAGCCGATTCAGTGTGAGGTTTTGAGTGCATTTGAGCGGCTGCAAATCAAGCAGGATAAGCCATATATTTTCGGCAATCAGTGGATGGTGTTTCAGTGTGATATATATTAGCAAGATCGAACTTTGAGGGATATACGCCATATACCAATATACCCTTGGAGTAATAGCAATTGCCGCCTTCCGATAACCGGCTCGGATCGTTACCTTTACCGTTTGTACTCTACATCGGGGTTGTGCGTCTGCACTGAACGGCTTCAAAATGAACTACTCAAAGTACCACCACAACGCAATGTCCTTATCGGCCATAGCGAAGGTAAGTGAATCCCATCCAGCGTCATTGGCGCCTTGTTTGGCATTTGGGTGAAAATTCATTCCCGCAATATCACTCATACCACGCTGTGGCCAGCAATCTCTGACTTCAGTGTTGGTCTGGGCCGCACTCATCCCCGCAATCACCGATTCTGCAATTAGATTCTGCGCACGCGGCAAGCTTTCCTCCCTCGCGTGCACGCTGCCAAAGTTTGGCCAACAGGGTTGTCAGGCGGCAAAAATTTTGTAAAAAGGATAGTTATGGGATGTGTAAGAATAACCGAAAAAATCATACACATTTCAAAATACTTCAAAATCTCTTAACGCTAGACATGTGCATTTAATCAAACCATATTTTTTTTAAATGTTCTCTCTAGGAAGTCCAATTAGAATAGTCGTAAGAAACCAAATAAATTTACTATAAAACAATTTAGAAACTCTTTTGGGACAGATGCATTTATTACGCCAAAAAAAATTTTAAAATTTTAAAGTACACTTTTCTTGATTAATAATAAAACGCATCTCTTGAGCTGGCTTTTAGCCCAAGCCAAACACTGCTTTATTTTGCAAATACGCGACAACCCTGGTCCAGGCTTTTGACTCAAACTCCAACTCAACAAACAACCCCTAAAAAAGCACACCCTCTGGCGAAACTTCTGAGCCAATTTTCTCTTGAGCAGGGGTCCTGTGTCCTTGGCGCTGCCTTCGCGTTTCAAACTCAGGACGACGACCACGACAACGACAACTTGATTAAGGTTAATGCCCCTAGCCGACCTTGGGGTGCGACACAGTTCGGGACTCGGGAGCTCGGAGCTCGCAGTTCGTAGTTCGGAACTCGGAACTCGCAAACGGGCAGCTCCGAACTCGGAACTCGGACCCCATCGTCCTTACTTTCCCATGGGTTCATTGAACTTTTAGGGAACTCATTATGCTTTCCGAGTATGCCATGCCGTGTGGGTGGTACACCGGTACATCATACGTCGATAGGCTCTACCAAGTTGATTGGCCAGGCCAAAACGGAACAGCCAGCTGGTGTGTATATCATTTTAGGGCTCGTCCTCCAGAGCAGGGTCCTCCCTTTTCGCCCCGAAGCTCTCCACTGTTGCTCTGCAGCTGTTGTCGGGCGCTATTTTTGGTGCAAGACGAACTTGCCGCCGTGCTTTTTGTCAGTCTGTCGCTGGCGTTGCTCCTGTCTGGACACCATGAATCATGTGGGTATATAGTTGCTGCAGTCGACAAACGATTTGAGAAAATCTCTGTTATCTGTGAATAGAACCGCGATAAGTGCGTAATTGAGAGCTCTAGTTTATCAGGGGGGGAGCAAACAGAAAAAAACAGCACTAAATGCAAATGATTAAACCAGTTTGACTAGGCGAACCGCTTGTTGTGCCTCCATCTCCGTCCAACTCGTTATCAACGGCGGCAACCTGTTCTGTGCCATGTGTGCCTCTTAAAATTAGAATAAATAGATTTCGTAATAGAGTTGGTGGGCCCGTCATGCCATTCGGCTCTGGCCAGTTGTGCTAAAATGTCTACTAATCCCACTTCCAATTCCAATCCCTCCTCCGACTCACAGCCAATACTCTACTCGTATTGGCGCAGCTCGTGCTCCTGGCGCGTGCGCATTGCGATGAATCTGAAGGAGATACCCTACGACATCAAGCCGATCAGTCTGATCAAATCCGGCGGCGAGCAGCATTGCAATGAGTATCGCGAGGTCAATCCCATGGAGCAGGTGCCTGCCCTGCAGATTGGTAAGTGGTGCTTCTAAAACACCTAAAAAACATTCCCTTACGAAAAAAAATCCTTGGTTATACGAAAAATTGAGCCTATAACATACAGCTGCAGTCAAAAAAATAGTTTTTTTTAACTTAGCTATCAAAAATAGCTACTTTGGAAAATCTCCGCATAACATAGGTACAACTAATACTACCAGTACTATTGTTTTGACTGCAACTGAAAAATTTACCTAAAAAACCTTAGGTAATTTTGAAGATGGTTGGCTTTTCTCTATTGTTCCTTAAATTAATGTAACATTTTTCTAAGAGTACTTAATTTTTATCCATTTAACCAGATGGACACACCCTCATCGAGTCGGTGGCCATAATGCACTACCTGGAGGAGACCCGCCCCCAGCGACCCCTCCTCCCGCAGGATGTCCACAAGAGGGCCAAGGTCCGCGAAATCGTCGAGATCATCTGCTCGGGCATCCAGCCCCTGCAGAACCTCATCGTGCTCATCCACGTGGGCGAGGAGAAGAAGAAGGAGTGGGCCCAGCACTGGATCACACGTGGCTTCCGGGCGGTGGAGAAGGCGCTCTCCACCTCCGCCGGCAAGTACTGCGTGGGCGACGAGATCTCCATGGCCGACTGCTGCCTAGTACCTCAGGTTTTCAACGCTCGAAGGTGAGTATGGTGAAATGAGCTAGTGACTGGCCTTAAAATATATTAGGAGGAAAAAGAAACAAAGTTTGGCAACACGAATGTCCATACTTTTTTAGGTCTTACAAAATTAAATATTCTTTATGTCAACAACCTTTTTATATTTATAAGCATTTAAGCTAAGTCGATTTGCGAATAAATTACTCGATAGCTCCAATGGCAGCTATATGATATTTTTATAAAATTGAACCAGTTGTTCTGAAATAGTATCTCATAGTACACTGGTATACATTTTATAACAACAAATTTATAATTCGTTTTTCCTTTGATTTTTCAATTGGTTTTACATAAAAAAGAACATACTTATCCAGCCTGTTTCAACTTTTATACTAACTGTAATAATACTTTTTTTTTTAAGTTTCGTTCAAAAAGTTTTAAGACTGAGAAAATATTTCGCGTGGAAACTTGGTGTTAAGACCATACATATATACACTTTATAAGATCTATTAAAATTTGTAGTTTGAAGATTTAAAAGAAAACAACTTATGAGTTAACAATTTGTATAAACAAAAATTTGAATACAAAATTATAAGAAGGTTCATTGTTTTAACGAGTGATACTATTTTGATATTATTGCAGATTCCACGTGGACTTGCGTCCCTATCCCATCATACTGCGCATCGACCGCGAACTGGAGAGCAATCCGGCCTTCCGGGCGGCCCATCCCTCCAATCAACCGGACTGTCCGCCGGAGCTGCCCAACAAATAGAATTTTGCGACGCCAACTGCAAAGCGCCGTAAGACGAAAAAGTGAATTGCAGTTCGTAACCCAGGCACAGGACAAACTAAGAACATGAATCTGATCGGTGGGCAGGATGGATGATGGGCGATGGCGAATGGCGAACGGCGAATGGCGTAAGGATTGGACAGATTGAACGGATGACAAGGACTCCATTAAGCAGAAACAGTCGGATGTGATTTAAGAAATTGCTAACAGCATTTAAATATGCATAAATGCATAAAAATACTATCTTTAACAATACGAAATTCCAACACGAAATTCAAATGCAAAAGTCTCAGTAACGGAACGAAAACGAAAACCAAAACTTAAAATATATTCTTCAGATTTCCCTAGTTTGTCATTGTGAACATGATCTTAAAGATGAACTCATATATATTAAATGTAACTTATTTTTATGCATTTTATTTAGGCTAACAAAAGACATAACAAATTCAAGGAAAACTCATGACGAAAAGCAAAATTCAATTCAGGGATTTAAAAACTGAAACAAAAAACCAAACACTATCGAAGATTTACAAATATATTTGATGTATGTATAAGTAGTACTTCATGTCAAAGTTGGGCAAATGCTAAACAAATCGTTCAAAAAGTACAAAACTTCAGTCAACCAATAAGTGAACTAAACCAACATACAAACTATACACTAAATCGAATAAATCATAAGTAATTTACAATGCTGGACAGCCTTTTTGATGGTTATGAAGTCGCAAAGCATAACTAACCAAATATTTCTCGCAAATCAATGCACATAGCCGAATGACAAAGCCAACCAATTAAGTGCACAGTAATTTTATTAGCAAGTTGATGTAAATTTGATAGTGAGAATCTCTTCACAACCCCTGTACGAGTAGATGTAAGCCTGTCGATGCCAAGTAAAAAAAATACTTACTATCCTGCATGACAGTACAATGCGTGAATAACACCATACAAATTTATATGGTATATAGGGCAAGCTGCGCATTTCCGCATACCAAACAAATACCAAATTGAATACAAAACAACTAATATGCATAGTTTCCGAAATATTGTAACAGTTCCAAATACTTTAAATAAATAAACTTCAAACTAAACAAAAATGTTATTATTTAGTAAGTATTGAAAAATTGAAAACGAAGAGCATTTCTATGACGGCGAAATTAATTAAGTGGCAATAAAATTGTTATTATTTTAAAATATAGAGTTACTGACCTTTGAGTTGTTTTCCAAAATTATTTCACTTTTATATTCAAAAACAAAATTTATTTTTTTTTGTTTTTAATGTTTCTTTTTCATAACCAACCCAAGTGTGAAATCTAATTATAATTGGTAGACAAAAATACAAGCCATTGAGTTGGTTTTCCCAAATGATTTAAGCTTATAGCTATTTTTTCATACTAAGGTTTCTTTTCATACCAAATGTAAAATGTCTCTACATCTATTTGGAAAATTATGGCCTACTTTTAGAGGAACCATATTAAAACAGGCAATTAATCGATAGTTCAAGCAAAAAACAATCTCCAATCATATCAGCTGTGGCATTAGGATCGCTATCAATTAGCGCAAGTAAACAGGTTTCTTCCGCTGTCTTATTAATAGTTTTACTTAACAGAAAGAAAATTAAATTTTATTTGTACTAAAATATGGCTGCAGTACAACAATTATACAGGTTTTCTGGGTTAAACGGCTTGGCTCGCAAAATGTCAACAAATTCGAAGCCTATTCTATACTCTAATTGGTCTAGTTCGTGTTCTTGGAGAGTGCGTGTTGCACTGGCAATAAAGGGTATAGATTACGAAATTAAGCCCACTTCTTTACTCAAGACAGTCAACGATAATGCCTATACAGAAGAGTATAGGAAAGTAAATCCCTTGCAAAAGGTTCCGGCTTTAAAGATTGGTAAGTAATTGGTGCAATGCCACAATGCCAATGACTTACATTTAATGATTTTTAGATGGGCACACACTGTGCGATTCGGTGGCAATAATGCACTATCTGGAGGAAACTCGTCCTCAGCCGGCTCTTCTACCCCAAGATCCGGTAAAAAGGGCTAAGGTTCGGGAAATTGTGGAGCTCATTTGCTCCGGAATTCAGCCGCTGCAAAATAGCTCTGTCCTAGAGCTTATAGGCAAGGAACAGAGTCTGAAATGGGCCCAGCATTGGATAGCTCGAGGATTTCAAGGTCTGGAGCAGGTGCTTTCCCAATCGGCGGGATGGTGCTGTGTGGGAGATGATCTGACAATGGCTGATATTTGCCTAGTGCCACAAGTTCGCAATGCCAGAAGGTAATACACTATTAAATTGCCAAACATAACTAATTTATAACTTGATTTTATAGATACAAAGCTGACTTGGCACCATATCCAACTATAAATCGCTTAAATGAAGACTTACAAGAACTGGAACTTTTTAGATCCACTCATCCCAGAACACAGCCAGGCTGTCCTCCGGAATTTGCCAAAAAATAGTTAAAGCTGAAACAAATCAATTGTTCAAGACATTCTTATCGCATTTATTTTTAATTTTTTTAATAAAAAGTTCTTTATACCCGCTTTCCAAATCAATCTAAAACCTTTTATAACTTTATAACAAAATGTTGTCTATACCCGCTTACCAAATCGTAGTAAAACTTCATTGAATTATAATATAATTTTTATTAGTTTTGTCATTTTTATATAATCGTTCTTAAATGTGTAATGTGTAATTCACGTAATTCATTTATGTACCTTCCTAACTTTGCATTTCTAATTTTCTTTTCCATCCTGGATGCGGATCGTTATAATGTTTCTGTGTATGTAGTATGCACTTATTGGCTTTCCTGGTTGGTTGTGTTTCTCTGTGGTTGTTGTGTCTGCGTTGTGTGTATATATGTATTCAACAAATTTTACTATAAATACTATTACATACATACAGATGCGCAACGTCGGACGCATTACATATCATAACCATTACATTCGATATACATGCATGTTCTGTACTGTACTGTGTATCTAACATCATCGGTATCGATCGATCGCCTACCTAGCTTAGCTTTCATTTTATTGTTGGCCTTAGTTTTCGCCATTACCATTAAGTTTTTAGTCGCAATCTGCATTATAATTCTTTTCATTCATTTTTTGTTCGAGTATGATTCACTTGGGGGCTATATAGCTATGTATATATATGTATGTAGAGAGGAGTAACTTTTTGCATACTTTTCGTTCGCAATTGTACAAGTTTTTTCTTATCGTTTGTTTGGTTTTAATTGCAAAAATTATGTTTTTCGATTTGTTAAAACTTGAATGAGCTACTTTAAAGAATCTTATTGTAGGGATACCTTTTGATTTAGTTGTTTAAAGACTTCTCTAGACTATTATCTGTTATTTTCCATGTTTTGTTTGGTTTTTTTATTCAAATCTATACCTCCTAAAATTAAATTGAGAAATAAAGAAAACCTACTTTATACCGTGTGGTTATGTGTGATTTTTCCCTTTGCGATTTTCAAATGCTAAATGAATAAATCTATAAAATCGTTTGCTTTGCTACTTGATTTTTAAAAAACTTCAATTGATTATACTTTGTAAATAGAGCATAACTAAATATCGTTGATTCCATTTTTCATTTAATTTATTTTGTTTACTTCATTTATTTCGGGTTCTTTTGCACTCAGAAAGGGAGTTGATTTGGTTTTTCTAAAATTTTATTTAAATATTTTGCTAATATGTATAAGTAAAACTTGTTTCTCTGCGCAATGTATTTTCGTTCTCATTACCGCTCTATTTAAACAACATTCTCTACATTCTTGGCAAACTGATTCGCTGGATTTGTTTGCCTTCATTTTTGTTTTTTGTTTTTGGAGCCATCATTTTGTTCGCACCTAGGTTAATATTACATTTTTGCTTAGCCTATTTAGGCGGCATTGTATTTACATACATTTAAATACTCTATATACGTTAATTTGTTTACACCCTCCGACTTCATTTCTCATTTTGTCATTATTATTATCACAGTCAAATCATAAAAGATTTAGTACTTTTACTTTTGAATGAGTTTCCATGATGTTTGCTTTTTGCTAATGTTCCGCGCTTTCGAATATATCATTATTATTAATTCTTGTCTATATAAACCTATTTAGAGATCGAAAAATGTTTCTGCAGCTGCTGTTTTTCGTAATTCCTATAGTGTGTGCAACGGATTTTAGACGTTGAGTGAAGAGAGTGCTAGTGTTTCTCGAATTATTTTGTTTATAATCTCTAATCGCCTGTATAAAATGAGAATTCCTACATGTTGAGCGAAATGTTGGACTTTCTGGGGACCTGTTGCTGTTGATATTGGCCAGATATCGTGAAGGCCGTAATTTCTATGTAACTTTTGTTTTTGTTTTCTAAGGTACTCACGTATGCAACTTCTTAGGTTGTTTTGGTTGACATTTGAGAAAGTGTTTAAGTGAAGAAGACTCGAAAATTGGATTTTACTTGTTACGATCCGACCGTTAATATTTTCCTTGCGTTAACTATTTTGTACACTGAACAAGATTTCATTTTTATATACTTCTTCACTATGACTGTGATGCAGTTATATGAGTTATGACTTAGGCTAGGGTCATTGAACGTCATTTAATGTCTACAAATACTGCACAGCAATATTTCGTGCCTTTTCGATTTATTCGGTCATTGAAAGAGTTTTAAAATCTGTTTCGGCCACTTTACATACTTTGTATTTCTGTTGTAGACCCATCTGTGCTAAATGAACTGTGCCAAATGGAAACGCAGGTAAATAAATAGTTTTTGGGGTCCGTGCCGAGCTGCACTCTTCGATGTTTTTGTTTTTTGTTTTTTTCTGAAAGTGAGGCCCTGCACGGCCCTTTGTTTTGTTTCAATCGTTAAACCGCTTTTATTTGCTCGAATTAATTAATATTAATTTTATTTATCACACTAACGACTACTTTTTATACTTTTAGTGTATGTGTATATATATAGTATTTAATATTTTACTAATGTTGTATGCTTCTGGTGTGGTTGGTGAATGAACATCTCCGCAGCCATCTCCGGTTTGGCCAATCCGATAGATTTATACATACAATGCTATATGAGGTTATATAATGATTCAGTTAGTTTTCCGACCTATCAATATACCAGCAAGGTTCGCACAATGCAGGTGCCTTCCAACATATTCTGTTCTGTTATGTTTACGATTTATTATATATATATAATGCATATGGGGGGGAGGTGTTTACATTTATATATAATGCATACGCATCGTAATGTTTAATTGTTCTAATAACAGTGTGGGTGGCAAAGCATAACAAATTATAATTAAAGTTACTTTCATCTTTCGCTTTTCGCTTTTTTCGCTTTAAGTATGTAGAGTTATGTATGTACGTAATATATGTATGCACTATACGAGATTTGATTGATAAATTGAACTCCTCTTTACATATTTGTATTTTAGCAACATACGGATTTCGAAGAGCAAACTCTCTTGTTGTTCTTGTTTCGGTTTTTGTTTCTTTAAATGTTCAAAGTCGAATTTGAATTACATTAGATATTTATGTATTGTATGTATATAGTTAATAAAAGTTGCTTTTATGTTTACTACGTTTAACACTAATAGACTCCGTCGTTGAAATAACAGCTGTATTACTTTTCTTTTCTTTACTCTTCCCTGCTCTACGCTCTATCCTTTATTGTTATAGATGCCTTTCAATAAATTAATAAAACTTCTGAACTGGTGAACTGATGAACTGGCGAACTTAATGGGGCACGTCCTTCCAAAGTTTCCTAGTTTCGTATGAATGGTGTTTTGGGGAGGTGAATTAGAGGGGGTGAATTGCATGACAAATGTGCCTGATAAGTGGGTTTTGTGGGTGCCACAGTGGCAGTAACAGTTGTATATCGATGTGGTAAGCACAAAGCAATCATGCGTCTTCGCTAATGGTGCAACTTGGATTCGGGGGCAGACTGTGCTATAAGGCCACACATATACCTTTTTTTCCTCATTTTTGCGGGATTGCGTGAAGCTTCGATTTGTACAGCAAATAGCAAACGCATTCAAACAATAAAATCCAAACAAGCATAAAACTCGGGCTACTCCTGTGAACCGATGGGATCGGATCTGACCTCGCATCCCAAGGGTTCATCTTTCATCTACCATCTTCCCTTCGTCACACACATTATCTGATGGATCGCAAATCGGACATTTCTAAGAATAGGAGTTGGAATCGAATCGAATCGAATTGCAGTGAATACGTATGCATTTATGGGATGGACTGTCCATGCATCGATGAATTGAATTGAGAACTTGATTTCGGGGAGATTTCGTTTGCTTTTCAAGTAAAGCTTTTCTTTCCTCTTAGTTGTCTCATTAAAAAATTAATTATTTCATAATTAATTTCAAGTATCGTTTGACTTCTCTTCTTTTTTAATAAATATATTTTTGCTTTGTTTTGTTGTTTGTTTTTTTTTTTGTTTTTTTTTTTAAATACATATCACAGATCCAGTACAAATATAAGTATATATATTTGTGTTTATTTCTCCTTCCTTCCTCTACTATGTTTAGATATCATATAAAACTCATACATTAAACATAACTCAGTGAGCACGCGTAAGTGATACTGATATTTAGTAAGAATGTGTGAATGTATGGGAGAGAGGTGTGTTTCAGGTGTGTTTCATGTGTGTGTGTGTGGGCGTATGTAAGGTATTTTAAGTCTGCGTCTGTGATAGATAAAGGTTAGAGTATATAGTGCTTCGATTCTGGGGGCTCTGAAAAGATCTCCCAATTTCTGACGTGAGGCGAAGAAGACGAAATAAATGTTCGTTTGCTGTTGGTTTGGTAGGTTGATTGGTTGACTGATTGGCTGATTGATTGGTTGACTGACAGGTTTTTGTGGGGTGGACGAAGGGGGATCTGTGTTTTATGCTTGTTGTGATTTTGGCTGTTGTTGTTTGTTAAGCTACGTTTTCAAAGTTGTTACTGTGAAATTCTGCTGTTCTTAGACGGTCTATTGCATGTCCTGATCTCTGGTCTCTTTATGTTTTTTTTTATGTTTATGATACTCAAAAAATAATAGTTCTAAATTAAACACCAACATCATCATCCTTGTTCCTTCCCCTTACGTTTTCGTATTGTTTTCTTTTTGGATGTTAATGCATATTTCAAGGCACACTAGCATTTACGACTGTACTTTCAAATTTACTCTTTTTTGTTTCCGTATTCTTCTGTTAAGTTTGCTTACTTCGTTTTGTTATCATAGTTATCTTCTGTTTTTCATTTGATTTTTGTATTTTAATCGTATTATATAAATATTGCACAAATAAGAACAATTGTAGGTAAGTTTTAACAATAATAGCAAAAATTAATAAGAACAACTTTCAACTTAAATATATAGACTTAGCTTAGGATTGGTTGCCGTTGTGGTTTGTTTGTTACTTTTCTTTTATATTTCACTACGGTGATGAGCGTTTTCAGTGATTCGGAATTGGAATCGAAATTGAAATCGAGCTGAGTTGACTGATAGATTGATTGACTGACTGACTGACTGGCTGATTGAGTTGATTTCGATATATCATGATAATGTTGTAGACGTTTGGGTTAGTGGTGGTGCGGCGCTTTTGGGTGGTAGATGGCTTTTTAATGGCGGTGCTAAATAATAATAATAATTAAACACGAAAAAAACATTGCAGTTCTTTTATTGTGGTTTTTTGTAATCAAATTTTATTTAAATTTCGTTTCATCTTTGTTTATTAATCAAAAAGAAGTGTTAAACTAAATTATATGTGTAAGGAATAAAGTAAATAAGAAAAATTTCATTACAAGTAAGGCATTTCTCTCTCTGTAGGTGAGGGGTGTTCGTATGGATACTTTTGTCCTTGTTTGTGTGGGTGGTATGTGTTTTTTTTTTTGGTGTATATGAATAGGGAAATTTTTAAATGTGATGTTAACATCTTTTGTCTTTACACTGCGTTTCTAAATAGTATATATGTACATACAATTGTTGTGAAATATGTTTGTTGAAATAATGTTTAATAATTGCACAATACTTAAAAATAACAAGGGAAATTGTTTGGTAGATTGTTTGTTTTGACGTTCGATGAAGAAACCCCTAAATGAATGCATTAATATGAATATTTTACAAAGAAACAATTGTTTGCTAAGGTTGTTTTTTATGTTTTTTCTTTATCGATTTTTAACATATATATATTTGTGATGCATTAGGCGTGAGAAAATGTAAGACTTAAAATTAGAATGTAAGAAACAAATGTGCTAAATTTACCAAAGAATGTGGTTAACAAACGCAAAATGACAAAAAAAAAAACAGTAAGGAGTGCAGTTCTCAGACTGGCAGCTAACAAATCGCAATGTGTTTTTTTTTTGATAAATAATATATATAGAAAACAAAAGATATAAGGAGTAACAAATCGGGAGCACAAAATCAAAACCAAAAGGAGACTCACGTGCGCGCGCAACACATTAACACCACTCGATCCGAACCGATCGGATCGTCTCTAAAACTAAACAACATTATCATGATCAACATCAACTGTTCAAGTTCAAGCGTTCCGAAACAAAAGTGTTCATATACAGGGGATTCAGGGGGCTGCAGAGTCAGAGGTGAATAGTTAAGTATATTAACAGCAGTAAGCAATTATGGAGAGGGGCAAAACAACAGAGAACAGATAAAAACAGAAAACTTTAACGAAATCACGAAAATGTCAACAAAGTCACTCTTATTTTGTTTAGTTTTGCAATTGTATTTTCACTAGCCTGTTGTAGGTGTAATAGCAAGTGTTTTTCTTGTTGTTCTTGTTGTGTTCGGATGTTCGGGGGTGTAGTAAAATATTTACCTTATTTCGAGGGTAAGAATCACCTGAAGTTTTCACTGAAAACGCTCGCTCATTATACATTTTATCGTTTTATCTCAACATAATGCTAATAATTAGGTGTGTGGTTTGTTGGGGGTTGGGCTGGGTGTGTGTAAGTGGGTGGTGGCGGCATATGTATATATATATATGTATGGGCATATGTGTGTAGATAATATATATAAACAAGACTCAACAACTGTGTACATATACATATGTATATGTATATATGCGCCATGTATTATCGTATCGTATAGCATGTTGGTCGGGAGTACCAAAAACAAAACACACAACGCAAACAAACGCATCACAAACAAACAAAACCCAAACGGTTTGGTTTTCTTTCGCAACTAGTTTGTGTGTCTAACTGGCAATAGGCAATATAACTTGTTTTCAATTTTAAACGTTTCGAGCGTGACACACAAATGCATAGTACATAGTATTTATACAAATTTTCACTGTTTTTCCTTTCATTTCGTTTTTATCTTTCTTAAAGGGCGTTAAGTTTTAAAGCAAATCTCTTTAGGTGAAGGCCTTGGAACAGTTTTACTCAAAAAGTGTATGGGTTTTGCAATACATTGGTAATTATTATAGTTTAACTGCTTAACAATTGGTGTTTCCTTTTTTTTTTTTTTTGTGTTATCCCTTCTCATATTATTTTAGTTTTGGGTTTTTCATGTTCATCGTTTTGTATCTTTTAATAAATTAACAAATTTTAGACGAAAACTTGCTTGTGGTTTTTTTTTTTTTTTGGGATTTAGGGGTTTGGTTGTTGTTTTGCTTTTTGCCTGTTTGTTTGTTGTTCTGTTCAGATTGCTGGTTGTTGGTTGCTTAACTCGGATTTGTTTTGTTTAATTCACAACAGTGGTTAATGGAATTTGTCGCGCCCTCTTTGTCTCCTCCTCGTTGATTTTCTGTTCAATTAGATATTGCGCTTTGGCAATGGCACTCGGCTGACCAGTTATGGTTACAATGCGATTTCTAGTGCCAGGTGCGAATATGCCCTTTTTGGAAATTTGCACATTTGCGCCAGAAACATGTTGAATTTCAACTAAACTACGACCGTTCGGACCTGGAATATTTGCATCAGATTTATGTTAAATATTTTTTAAAATTGTAAATGGATATAATGGATAATATATGTGGGTATAATAGTAATAATATATATGTATATAAATTGGGTATGGGCGTGTTTATAGCAGTAAGGTGTTAAGGACGCCGTTTAAAAAGAAATAAAATCAAACCAAAGAGCGAAAGTCGATATGCTGGAATAAAGGGGTCAGAGTGCCTAACCTAATGACCTAACGACCTTACAACTGACACTGAGGTAAAATTAACTGCGCAACAACGAATGTAAATCCAACAATGTAATAATATTTTACCCAATAATTGCACTAGCCAACTGGGCCTGAAGTCCGCCCAGCTAAACGTAAGTATATCGAAACAAATTCGTTTTAAGCAATAAACAAAATATGGGAAAGTGAATGTGTTTTTCGACCTACAACCTACCTAACTGCTAAAGCTACTAACTGCTACCACTGCTCTCTTAAGCTAACTGATGCTGCTGTTCTGTGCGAATTTTCAGTGGGTTTGCGGGTTTAAGGTGGAAATAGATTGAAATAAAAGGCATTAGGATGCTGGTACTGGCGGATGGGTGAGAGGCAAGAACTTGACTAGAAATTTCGCTATAAGTTTCAATGAATTTATTAGGAAAACCTTTGAGAATATCTAACGGAATGTCTTGTATGCAGGAAGTGGTGTAAAACTCAATAAATCTGAGTCTGGAATGAAGTGCCTGTGTCTATGGTTGGCTACACAGAGAAAACTAGCTAAAGTTTTAGATGCAAAAACATTTTAAAAATATTTCAAATTGCTTCATACAAATGTATTTTTACTTAGTGTTACTTTAATGTTTTGAGCACCTAAAACATGGAATTTTAAAACTATTTTTTTTCTGTGTACGTCTCTATGTCTAATGGCTCAATGGCTTATCAAAAATGGGATGGGCAACTCCTCTTTATCCTCTGGAATTTTCACAGGTGCTGGGGGTCAAACGGGTGGTGGGTTAGGGGGTGGGATTAAAGAAAATTGCGGTGTTGGTTCTTGGTTCTCTGGATTTTTTGCAATTTTAGTAGGGATAATAATGGTATGGACGCGCACCTAGAATAGCGCCGATAATCACTTCCGGCACCTCGACGTTCTTCGAGTCCTTGGAGCTGAGGTCGCCCGGAGTGGGGCTCTTGCTGAGGCCGCCCAGCTGCGCCGTGGTCGCTGTGCCCGTGGCTGCCGTCAGCCCGAAGCTGTTGTTGTTCAGCGAGACGGGCGTGGCGCCCGGCGCCGTGGCCGAGCCCAAGTGGCGGAATGGATCGAATTGCACCGCGGCAGCGTCCAGTTGCGACTGCGTCGGCCTACTGGCGGCAGCTGCAGCGGCCGCTGCGGCGGCAAACTGCTCCAGATTCACCTGGCCCACAGCGCCGAACACATTGCTGGCGGTGGCCGCGGATGCGGCGGCCGCAGTCTGCTGATCGAGCGCCGATACACCCAGGAAGTTGCCCAGCGTCGAGTGGGCGCCGTTGGTGTGCGGCACGCCCACGCCCATTCCGAGGACTCCGTACTTGGCCAGCACTCCCAGGGCGGAGACGACTTCGTTCGTCACGGTCTCCGAGTAACCAGAACCGCGCATGGCAACCTAAAGGGGATGGGTTAGAAAGCACAGATTAAGTATACGCCATGCTCACAGCAACAAAGAAGTGGAATGCAAAACAAAGTCCGTTTTGATAAGGATCTGTTAAGGATCGAACTTTATCAGGATATTACTTGAAGAGCAAACAAGTGATCAGATGAAATGATCGAGAATAAAAAATATCGTTTTTTAGCTGGCGCCATCTGTTAAACTGCAGGGTAAACACTGCAATTAAAGAGAGAGCAGCTCTTTCTCTCTCGTCCGTCCTCTCAAATATATGAACTGTTTCAAATTTGCAGTGACGTCATAATTTAAAATTCCCTAATAACTTCTAAAATAGTGGTTCGATTTTGAAATTTTGATTTTTGGTGAGTCGATAGATATTGACCGATAAAATAAATAGCGCGCATTAACAGGCCTCTAACATGCTCAGAGTAACATACCAGAGTTTCGCACTTTGTGGGCGTTAAAGTTTAAAATAAACTGTTGACTGGCACCTATCATCTATCTATTATGAATTATGAGCCTCTCGAACTTAAATAACCAAATCAAAAGGGACTTTGCTCAGAACTACAGCCCTGAAAGCATCAATGTCTAACCTTAATATGCTCGAGCAACTGAGTGGCAACCGCTAGATTGGGCGCCGGATTGGGTGAGCCCAGGTTGATGGACAAGTTGATGCCGGTGCCGTTGACTAGCAGGCTGGCCGCCGAGTTGGCGCCGCCGATCGTGGTGCCCAGCGTGGAGTTGAGCGAGGCGGTGCTCGAGTTGATGGCATTCTGGTTGGTGGCATACGGCGAGCCGGTCGGATTGAAGTTGGCTACTGGGCCGCTGACGTCCGCGTAGGAGACATTCAGGCAGGTGCCCGACTGCGGATCCTCGACGATCTTGGAGAGGATCATCTTGCAGGCGTTCTTGTTGTTCTCCTTGTCGCCAATGATCGTGATGCAGCGCTCCTGCAGCGAGACATCCTTGGGCTTCTGCGAGATCTGGACATAGGAGCCGCTCTCCTCCTTGATCTGTTTGATGAAGGCGCCGCCCTTGCCGATGATCATGCCGGCGGTGGAGTTGGGCACCAGGATCTTGACCTGCTTGTCGCGCTCCTGGGTCTGTTTGGACTCGGCGTCGACGATCTTGTTGGTCAGGTCGGGCTTCTCGCGGATCTTGTCCATGATGAACTCGAGCACGACCATGATGGCATCCGTGGAGCCGGTGATCAGGCAAACGCGTTCAGTGGTGCCTTTTGAATGAAAGATGAAATTAGTTTCGGATGGCGATAGTGAGTAGATGGCTTTACTCACCTGGGTAAAAGTCATGGGACTTGGACATCTTGACCCTAGCACCAGTGTCCTTTTGCAGGGAGGCGATCGTCTCGCCTCCCTTGCCGATGATGGCCCCGGAGGCCACCGCGGGCACCAGTATTTTCATGTGGTACGTTGTCTCGCCTGCAAACACAAAATCGAGAGGAGTTCACAGGGCGACCAATGGATTAGTCTCGGGGGAATCTCTGGGGTTTGCTTTTAGGATTTTAGTTTAGGGGATTCTGTACTATAACTATACAGGTTAGTAAGTAGTCTGTGTGCCCTTGGCTATTGCATACACAATCTAGTTATCTGTTTTGTTATTATTGGTTAGAGATCTAGTTGCTAGCACATTCGGCAGGTTACAAATTAAAAATAATAACAGCATTTCAGCGTCGATCGTTTGTTCGTTCGGCTGGACACGCTCGTAACGAGGGACGTTCGTGGAGTTCTCAGCTTTAACTTGGTTAGTTGATGGTTATTGTTTCGAGATAGAGAGAGACTTCGGTTTAGTGCATTATGGATTTGGTTTGGATTGGTTTGGTTATGGTGGTGGGCAGGCATGGTGTTCGACTGTTGTCTGTTTCTGTGATTTTTTTTCTATGGTGATGGGCAAGCCATGAGGAGATATATGCACTCGAGATGAGATGGAACGGACAATGCTGGCGACACACGAAAGACATGAGAAAGACCACCGTTGACTTCTCCTCCAAAGGTCGTCGGATTGGCCAAAAAATACAAAAATAAAAAAAAAAACACAACAAGAGCCCCGCAAATTACCATCTATACTCTGCCCGCTTGGGCAACCCGCAAAAGCAAAACGAAATGAATACGAATAATTTGTGGAAAATGTAAGTCAAAGCAAAAGTCGGTCAAAGGGTCGAAGGTTAATGTGCTCGTTGGTCCGTTGGGTCATACAATCAGTTTTAAATTTTAAGTTTTCGTTTCACTGTCCAAAGTCAGGCTCAAAAAGCGCGAAAAATACAGACAGCGGTGTTTGTTACACATACAAAGAAAACGATTGAGCTACGCTTTGTTCGGTATTAATCTTGAATTAGTCGATCTTTTTTTGTTTATTTTTTGGCTAGACAAAGATGGATTTAATGGTATTTAATGAAAGTGTGACAAAGCTTACCATGATGAATATGATTATTGTTATTATTTTCAATTTCAACCTCAATTCCAGAACAAACTGACTCACCTGAAATGGAAAGAGAAAAAACGGAAACAATGATTATAAGTTGTGGATTTTAAGGCGCCAGCTGGGGAGCATGCATTCCACACACACAGGGCAAGTTGATGTGAATAATGTGGCGAATCGTGAAGAGGATGCAGTGGAAGCTCACTGCGAGCGAATGATATCATCTGCGTCACACACAGCCTCAAGCCGACAGTAGTAAGCAAACAAATTTCAATTAATAAAATGTGTCAAGCGGAGACGCTCTATTACACAACAGAATAAAAAAGAACGAAACGGAATGATCTAAGCGCGTTGCACCTGACTGGCTGCAACTTTGAGACTCGGTGACTTGGTGACTTGGGGGAAAAAGCCCAAGACACTTGGCACTCGCTTTGTTTAAATTTAGCCGCTGCATTCCCCCAGCCTCCTGACGCCACTGAAATGTGTGTCGTCTTGGTCGTCTCGTTGCCACTCAGCGGCAGAGTGTCCTTCAAAAGTATTTCTCTAATTAGATACAGCGGCGAGCACACACATCTGACATTGGGATGGGCATGGGGTATTGGGGTAGAATATTGGACCATTGGACCATTTGCCCTGCTTTGCATGCATGTGTGAAAATGTGCGATTTGCAAAGAATTCGCAATGTGCAGAGAGCAATGTAAGCAACGAAAGCGAAATTAGTCGAGATTTGCGAATCAGCCCACACATTATTTAGCACCATGCTGGCCAATTTCCGCCACTGAAAATAATTGAAAGTGCGCCGGACGCATCTGTCAGTTATCTATCATTTATACGTTTGAATAGAGTGAAATTCATAAAATACATGAAATTCATGAAATTGATTAAATTCCTAACCGCAAAAATGTATTTTGCAATGGGTAATACTCGTAAATAAAGAGGAGCTTGGCAAATAATATGCAGGCAGGAACAACAAAGCCATTTGCTTAGCGTTTTATGGGCCACAAAGGACCAAAGGGCCAAGAACGAAGCTGCGTTGCTGCGTTGCTGCCTTGCTGTTGACACTGTGCAGCAGCTTAAATTATGTGACTGTCATAAATAACACTTGCAGCACATTGGCCAGACCACCGCCCATTGAGCTGCAAGTGGGCGTGGCCCGGGGGCGGAGGTGGCAGGATGGCAGAGGATGGCAGACTGGAGACTAATTTCGTATGCATTGTGTGCAGGATTGGTAGGGAAACTAGGCTAACGACAAGCTGGCTCACACACTAGTACTATGCCATTCCAACCCCAAACCACAATAAATGCCATGGAGCAATCTGCAACACGCAAATTGTTAAAGCAAAGCCCGCGCAGCAAGTGCTTGTCGCGTACCACGCGACGTATGCGTAATGCGGGGACATGGGACACGCGATTAAATGATTAGATCCTGCAAGCGACAACTCCATTTAATTTCCCGCATCGGGAAGCGCTCATAATGCTCTTTAAAACACAGTTGCTATTTGGACTTATTGAAACACTGTCAGAAGTAATTTAATACATTTTGAAATAATTTTTAAACCAGCTAAATGCTTATTTTAAATCAACCCTGTTCAAAAAGTGCTCGACATGGTCTTTAAAATAAAACTAAAACTATGTGAAATTTAATTTTTTTTATGACATATTTAAACACTATCAGATATTATTTAATATATTTTAAAAATAATTTTAAATTATAAGCAAAGCTTTAACAGATAACTACTTCTGAGTTAATATAAGCCTCAATCAAAAACTTTAGCAGAATGAGATGATCATATAAAAACTCTTTTTTCCATTTATATTAAGACCTAACTTTCCATTTACTTTTTTATCAGATACGTAAAAAATTAATAATCTATCAAATGATGCCAAAAATTAATAGTCGCTAAAAACTTAAACTCATTTTCTGCACCTAACTATGCCATCTCCATAACGCGTTCCCTTAAAAAACAAACACTGTGTCGCAAAATCCGCGCGTAAATCTTTATGCAATACTCGTGAATCACTAGGGCATGCTGAAGGAAAGTGGTGTATACATAAGACATAATATTGTAAGGCACATTCAAAATTGAAATGGACGCCCACATTAAAGCGCACGATTAGCATATGAGATTTTTATATAGTCGATTGTGGTGGTTTTTGCTGGCTGGTTGTTGTTGTTTCTGTTCCTATGAGTGTTTGGTTTTTGGTTTTATTTTGTGTATCAGAAATGTGTGCTGGATGTTGGTGATGTTTGGATTATTTTCTTTCAAAACTTTCAACGCAATGTTAATGGTTAAATTATTTATAGCTTGTCCGGCGTTCGCTTCGTTTGACATTTTGGCGTTCTTGTTTTTAGGGCTTTTCTTTTTCTTTTTCATAGCCTTTTCTATTTTTTTTTTTTTTTTTTTTTCTTTTTTTTTTTGTTTAAGTTGCTGGCGGCATTTAGAATGAGGCGACGTGGTGATTGATGCTGTTGTTGGCTGGTTGGTTGGTTGGTTGGTTGTAGCGAGCTCGATAGTTATAGATATATAGAGAAGTGGTGTACATTTTATGTATGGTGTAGTAGTAGAGGAAGTTGTGCGCAACTTTAGAATAGTTCTATGCCGATGTTGATTGCGTTTTGTTCTTGATTCTGATTCAGACTCACCGTAACACCAGCAGGGGTTAGTCTTATAGTTTCCAAGCGTTGTGGTTGCTGTTGCCGCTGCACTTGAAGCTGCTGCATTTGGCGGCGTTTGGGCACCTGGTGGCGAGGCGTTCGGCGACCCATTCTCACTCAGGGAAGATTGATCCATCTGACGAACAGGTGGAACATGGTTGGGATTAGCCGGGTTTTCTTGCTGCTGATTGTGGCTATGAGCGGCTAATGAGAATGCAGCGTTGCTATGATTGCTACCAAAGACAATGTTGCTGATGTTGCTTATGTTGCTTATGTTGCTGCCGTCCAATGCCATCCAATGTGTTGATGATGGCGACAACGTGGTTGTGGAATGTCGTGGCTGATTGTTACAAGCTAATTGCTGCATATGTGTGGGCTCTGATTGTTGATATCGGTATGTGGGATGTTCATTTTCTGGTTCTTGTTTATGGTGTTGCTGTTGCTTTTGCTTTTGCTGCTGCTGTAGCTGCTGTTGCTCCTGCTGCTGTTGTTGCTGTTCCTGCTGCTGTTGCTCAAACTTTTGCTGAGCCAGACGCGCCTGGTCCATTAAGTACCTAAAGCCAAACTGCGCAATCAGCTGCTCGGGCGTCCTGTCCATAAATCTTTCCGTAAAACTCTCCATTTTGCCTTGGAATTGTTGCCGTTCCCGTTCAGTCTTCAGAATTGCTTGCGACGGAATTGATTCTGCCTTGAATCGACTATGCTTGTACACGTACTCGTACTCGTTCCTTATTCAACCGACTCTTATGCGTTATTTATTCATTTGTTTTTTTTTTTGTAATTTGTAATTTGTAATTTTGTGCCTGATTTGATAGGATTGGTTGCGATTGCTCTGTTTCGTTTTAATCATTAAACTTGTTCAATAAACGAAAGAAAAAGAAATGGAAAATTTGTTTAAATTAAGCTGGCTTTTTATAGGTTTTTTTTATGCTGATCCCACACACACATGTTTTAGGCGGCGAGCGGAAGAGAGATAGATATGGAGCATTTCAAGGACCTTATGCATTCTGTCTCTCTCCCGCTTGCAATTCCATTGATATCTGATTTGCACATTGCATTATTGATACATCGAGTTTAATGGCAGTTTGTAAGGCATTTAGACTGTGCATTTGTTGCTTTTCTTTTTTGTTTCTGGGAAAATGCTCTTCATGATGATGCGGTGGTTGTAAGTTAACATATATAGAGATATATAGAACGGGTTAAAAGAGTGGTGACTTCGCAGTGAGTTCAGTTTAGTAGATTTGCTCGACTTCCGGATGACTTGAATTTAATCGATTTGGTTAGAGTTAGCTGACGTTGGATATTGATAAGATATTTTAGTGTTTTTGGATGGCGATTTTAGTGTTGTTCTGTTAGTGCGTGACCTTTTTTTCGTTTCTTGATGGTTTTTGCTTAGATATATTTTGTACGATAACAACAACAACAATTACGATGCAACTAATATATATTATAAATATATAGAAGGAGTGGGAAACAGACAGAGACAGAGAGAGCGGCAGCAGCAAGCTTCAGCAAAGGTATTGAATTGGATTGTATTGTCGACTGGATGATTTTAAAGTCCTCCGTCTGGGATGAAACTTATCATTCACAGACTTAGTAGGCTTTTAAGGAGAGAAGGATGACGATTGGTGCTGTGGCGATATAGAGGTAGTATGTCCATGTAGAATGGCGTTTGTTAATGACGATAGTTACACAACATTCAGAAATGCTATGAAAGACATTTAGAAATCAATGCCAGGGCTTTTTTACCATTCAGCTGTTGAGTTGAGTTGAGTTGGGTTGAGTTCAGAGTTCACAAAGTTGCAGTTGTTTCTATAATACTTGAAGCTTGGCACGATGACAGGACGGCGGTCTTTTGAGATGATTTTGATGCTGCTGCCTGGCGATGTGTTGCATTTGTTTTGATTTTAGTTTTTTTGATTTTCAGTCGTTTCGATTTGATTAATAACTTTTCGGCTTTTCTATTTTATTTAAGTCTTTGCTTGCGTAGTTTTATCACAACATAGTTTTTAACTGCTTTGCTCGCTTGCGTTTATCACATTTGAGTTGAGTTGGGTTGAGAGTTTTCATTGGTTTTGTGGGAATGCTGTTGGATAGTTTAAATTATACGCGATTTTAGAGGTACTCGCTTTTTGTACTGCCATTATTGCTAATCGCACGCTTTAAATGGGGGACAACAACAAAAACAACTGTTCGTGATTATGTTCTTATTTTTTTTATATACATTGTGGGTTTTCATTTCGTTTTTAACTTTATCGTTCTGCTGTGTGGCATGCACATCAATTTATTTTTATATTTTGTGTAGTATCTATAATTATATTTGCGCTATGGCTGGCTTTCGATAATTGCAAGCACATTTATATGCATGGACGACAATGGTTTAAAAAAAAAAATTACAAATAAA